GGGAGAAAGTATGGTTGTATGTACCATTTGTCAAAAGGGGAAAGAATTTGAAGCTATCACGGCCGTGGCGGGGACCATATACGATTGTGAAGAAAATTTCAGATGTGGTGTATCGAATCGAGAAAAATGCCAACAAAACGAATAGGTTAGTAGTCCATTACAATCGTCTTAAACCGTGTTTTGAACGACCGTTGAAAAGTCTACCTAATCGACCACCAAACGAGACGAAACTGCAATCGAAAGAAACCCCCGAAACGAGAAAAGAAAACGTGGAGAACTGTAGTGGCCAAACCCCGCAAACGGAACCCCCATCCAACGGAGGAAATGATGAGGATGAGTGGACAGTGAGGTATTTTAGAAGAAATTTGAGACAAAGTAGACCAAGTCGGGCAATTAACGGGGAGGAACACGGACAAAGTTTACCTGATGAGGTCCAAGAAGACGTACAACATTTACCTGACGAATTACAACAGGATGGGCCATTGAGTTCAATGGAACAGAATAATCAGAGAGACGGTAGCGACGAGACATTGCGAGAACCAGTAGAAGGAAACGAGGGACAGTCACAAGCCCCACCGGAAAGGCCAGCGCGAACGAGAAAAAACCCAGCGTGGTTACGGGACTATGGAACTGTACTGCATTTTTGCAGCTTAGTTATCTATTAAATTGTACTGCATTTTTGCAGCTTTGTTATCTATTAAATTTAGAGGGGAATAGTGTAGAGAATATAGAGACCGACTTTATAGAGACTGACGTTAGCAAATATAGGTGGCGTGGACGAGCGTTGATCGATAGTTTTAAATCCGAACACTACAGGAAAGTTGTAAGACTGTTAATATTAATATATCTTCAGAAATAAATTATTACACATCTATTCGAAAAACTCAGTATCTATATAATAAAAAGATTTTTATTCTAATTTTAAGGTAAATATTCCATTCATGATTCTCATTGATTTAAGAAGTTAGCCCCCTCAGATACGTCCAAAGGCTTTGTCCAAAGGCTTCTGTTATCAATACTGATTACTGGGCCCTTTCTCGATATATGAGCAACCGAAAGTATTGCATATAAATAAACATACGTTCTTGGCGTTATGGTGGGGTATTGTATAATTGTACGGGCTTGCTCATATATCGATTAGTTATTGTTACAGGTATTTTGTCTTGAATATTTAACTTAAGCCTTCAACCCGAGCATAGGCGTATAAAGAAGCATCGAGCGCTATATACTATATGAAATACACTGTCAATGTCGAGGTCAATGTAGTAAACAATGTAGTTCTACAAATAGCGCTGCAAAGCTTATACATTTTATACATTTCAACCAGTTGAAATGTATAAGGGTATAAGCTTTGCAGCGCTATTTATAGAACTACTGTATATAGCGCTCGATGCTTCTTTATACGCCTATGCTCGGGTTGAAGGCTTAAGTTAAATATTCAAGACAAAATACCTGTAACAATAACTAATCGATATATGAGCAAGCCCGTACAATTATACAATAC